TCGCATGTTTTGCATCAAACTTTGGTCAAAATAATCCAACAGATTCCAGGACACGATAATTTGATACAAACCTCGAGTCAATTGACGTAAAAAAGCGAGATTCCCTTTGTTCAAAAAAATTAATTTCACTTGTTTCAAAACCAATTTTCAATTTCTATTGTTTAAAAAAAAATTCAAATAAATAATGGTTGATCATACTATATACATGAAGCCCTTTTAGAAGTACACATGTTTTATATTATCATAAAAGAATAAGTTAATAGCACATAATTACATTGAGTGAAGTAGTTGAAATCAACTATTTGATTTTCTGAAATTTATTTCTTCAAACGTAAATAAATAATCAACAACTGAACTCAAATAAACGTTATATATGTTCATCCCCATTACTCGGTTCGTTACATAAGAGCTACCTCAGTTATATACAGTAAAACCTTTCAATCTTCGTTACATAAGAGCTACTTTATCTACAGTAAAACCTTTCAATCTGAATCCGAATCAGACTCATCAGAGGATTCGTATCTTAACATGGCTGTCGCATCCGGGGTATACAGATGACTCTGGCTACTGTCACTTTTGCTAAAATCAAAATTTAGTTTCTTCATCGTTAAACTTTTAACAGTTAGGTTTCCAAAATGTTTTTGATACTGTTCATCTGGCGTTCCTGGTATATCGATCATATTTTGTACTTTTGGTGAAGCTTCAACTCGCATTGTATAATAGTCAGTATTACCGTTGTTATCGGATTTATAGTCCTCTAAGGATTCGCAAAAGTTTCCAATTTTGTCAGTATAATCCAAAGTTTTTAATTCATTCAGTCTCATTTCAACAAAATCGATATGCTCCTCATGCTCAAACAAGTTTGTCGATCTCCTAGGCGACTTATTTCCATTTTGCGTTGCAACACTAGAGTTACGCCTGGATCGAGGTCCGGGTAATTTTGGTGAACATGTTCTCGGTCGTGTATCAATTGTCGGAACTTTAAGCAAGTTTTTTTCGGGCACATTCCCATTTTTCTTGTCAACTGCACTCATGGCGGTCACTGGAAAACATTGTGTACGTTCGTCATTTCTTCCATATTTAGCAGAGGATGGTCTTGTGGCAATGACATGCGCATGTGTGTTAACCGGTAATGGTGTAGTGCTGCCTTCAGACAAAGATTTACTCCTAAGTCTTGGTGTTTTCTCATCAAAAACATCATCAATAACGGCATCAATGTTAATCTTAACTTTCGATGTCTTCTTGGGTTTTGCGCCTTCATTTGTTTGTATTTTCTTCAGAAATTCATAATCCTGCTCAGAATCACCAACATTAATATTCAAAGACCGCAAATTTTTTGCTCTTAATTCTCTTTCTTTTTCTTTGTCGCCATACATACGAGCATAAGCTAACTTCGAGCGATGAAGCTTATCTTGAAACCTTTTGTAAAGAATTTTCTGGTCTATCTGAACCCTGTGAACTATATTCTTTTCAGTTCTATTTAAAATATCCAGGTTCTTTTTCAAAACTATGTCCTCTTTGTAATTTGCATAATGTACCGTTAAAGAACGTTCGGCTGCATCGCTTGCTTTACCAGATGATACAACCATTTTGAATGTTACTTCGCAAATGAATAAAATTTTGAGTGTTGACGCGTGTATGTGTAACATTCGTATTAATTTTCTTAAATTGAATCGTGATGTTTGTTAATTTGAATAGACTTAAATCAAAGTATTTAAATTTTCTGATTAATATGTCGTCCAGACAAAATTGTACAAGTTTATCCCTACTTCAACCTTATCAGGTTACAAACTTTAGATTTCCTCGGTTATCAAAACATTGTAGTTTATCGTGGTATTATCAGACAAATTTTATTTGCTGTTTTGTTCCTTAATCTTAGTTTCTATTGGTTATTGACAAGTTTAGTTTGATTGATTACTTATGTTGCATGCCGATACTCAGCACAATTAACACTGCCAAATCTTTTTGACATGGTTCACGACAGTGCGATAGCCTTTTTATGTCAAAAATCAAGCACAAAAATATATGTTTTGACTAATTTGAATTACTACTTCGTTTATTTCGTTAATACGTGCATAGTAGTTTCTTAAGATATAAAAGTATGTAAATATTGTAAAATATATTTCAAAACATGCCAGCAAAAAACGTGATTACAATTCACTATCTCGCCGAAGGATTGAGTTACCAAATAATGTAAACAAACTTATTTTTGTTGTTACTTATTTTGGATTTAACTCTTCTCACCGACTAAGCTTCGATTTATATATATCCTGTCATTTTCTAACTTCGTTGATGTATTTTTCTCAAAACGGAAGACCCAGGCTTTACATATTTGCGACTTTCTTTTACTTTTCGCAAATGTCGCGTAAATAAATTGCTCTTAGACTAGCTGATTTACAGTAAAGGGACAATTTACATGCTATCAGTATATAATTTTGTTTGAAATAGCGATTTCTTATTAAATGTTTAATGATTCTGAAATAACATCTTTATATATCCTCGAAACCATGGGTTTAGAAAGACAAGTATAACTACATTTGACTGTTACAGTATTTCAATAAAACAGTAGAAACGTAAAAAATGTTTTACAGATTTACAGGTTTATGCCTCATTTGGTATATTTATATTTAAAAGTCTCATATCTGATAAAAAATAAACTTTTTTAAATCATATAATCAGACTCAGTTGCTTTTTTTATGTTTTGAGAACTATCATAATTGCAAGATTTTAATCAGGTTTGTAACGTAAGCATTGGTGAAATGAGCATAATTCGTATGTTCTGCTGTTGCACCACTGTCTCAAGTTAGAGGGTGGTTTGATCGCTCGCAAACATGTTAACACCTGTCGCGTTCTGTATGTGCCTGTTAGTGGTTGTCGTTTGTTGCTGTCTGTCATATTTGTTTTTTAGTTTATTGTTTTGTATACAAGTCAGACCTTTGATTTGGCGTTTCTCAGACTGGTTACGATGTATTTAGACTAATTCCGTTTTGAATGTGTACTGACTGATACTTTAGTCTGGGAGAAAATGATTTATTTAGTATATTAAGTTGTAATTGGCTTTGGACCAGCTGTCAGTAACAGTTTACTTAGAATACTCTTATATCGGTGCTTTGTGTCTTTTTTTTTTATCTTAGTTGGTTTTTTTTATGCTGATTATCGATCTATTGATTTGAGCCATTTGCATCTGATTTTTACAGTTTGTTCTTATGTTGCGCTGTTACGCCACTGTCACGGGTTAGGGGAAGGTTGAGTGCTATTAAACATGTTTAATCCCGTCACTTGCTTTATGTGACTGTCCCAAATCAGGAGCCTTCTATTCAGTGGTTTTCGTTGGTTCACGTCTGTCATATTTTCGTCAATTGTTTTATTAGAATTTAGGCCGTTAGTTTTCTCGTTTGAATTGTTTCACATTTTTTCATGATGATGCCTTTTATAGCCAACTATACGACGGTATTGGTTTTGCTCGTTGTTGAAGACCGTACGGCGACCTATAATAGCTTACATCCATGTCATTTGAAATCTGGTGGATAGTTGTTTAATTGGCTATCCTACCACATCTCATTTTTTATATGTAATGTAGACAGCAATTGCAAAATGATCAACGACAAGCCTTCTAGAGTTCAACATACGACTTTCAACCATGAAGACATATGTATATACAGTATGCCAAGATCCAAATCAACTGAATATATTATACTATTAATACGAAATGATTTGTTTTTGACACATCACATTATTAATGACGACGCGATTAACTCTTAATTATGCATTATGTGCGTTGTCACGACGTTAGTTTTGGTCAAATTTTTCCATTACTTATAAACAGTTTTTTAGCATAATTTACTTTGAATAAAACACTTGATCCAGAAAATGTTTTTGATCCAGAAAATGTTTGCGTCCACGGATTCAAAAATAAAGCTTTGCAACCTTTTGTTACAGACAAAGTTAAGTCTGGGGTTGCGGTTAAGGTTTTCTTAAAGATTTTATGGCTGACAAATGCACAAAATCATCGTATCTTACAATATCTCAAAAAATGAGCTGACTTTGGAGCCTATAGTGTATAAGTATGTAGAGAGTTGATAAATCTATCATTGAGGCTTTGAAAATAGACGGCAAAAGTAGGAAACAAATTGCAGCCTTTTTTTATATTTTATGATCCAGTTGAAAATCAAGGCCAGATTTTGTAAAGAATTAACCTTGACCTTTAACAGACACTTTAAAATATCTGCAATTAACACGAAAAATAGAATAAAATTAACGAATGATAAAGATCTTATATAGCACGCCATGTGTTTCTGGAATATCCTTTAATCGCGATCAATAGGATAGAAATAAAATTGAGAATGGAAACGATGAATGTGTCAAAGAGACCACAACTCGACCAAAGAGCAGAAAACAGCCGAAGGCCACCAATGGGTCTTCAACACAGCGAGAAAATCCCGCACCCGGAATTGTAAAGCCAATTACATAAAACGTTTGAGAGTTTCAAAGGCAAACTAGCTTGAATAAAAATAAATCTGTTCTACGCTATCTAATTTGTTGTTGGAATGAATTATTACTTAATATTTGTATGCTGTTTATCTGAATCTAACATAAATGTATAATTACATAACATGTTTATTTCATTATAATACGTTATTTTGATTGGCTAACAGCAATATCGCGTCATTCTGAAATTAACCTTCATTTCAAAATGAAATGTAACATTCATGATGACACGAGCTTCCACAATAAAGTGCACAGGTAAACAAAAGAAAAACTTGATAGAAATCGTGTTTTCATGACCCCAGCAAAAAAATGTAATTATAAGTATTGAATGCTTCTTTTAGTAATTTTATATAATAGGGTTGTAAAAGCGTTGACCGTGCGCACATTTTTAGAATGAAGCGCTTCCGCGCTTCATACAAAATGTACTTCGGTCAACGCTTTTACAACCCAATAAATTTATAAAAAGAAGCATTCAATTCTTAAATAAAGCTAAAAAAAAAATAGTAATATCATTTAATAATGCATTTTTATTATAATCTAGTGATGTTTATACAACAAGTAATTGGTTTGTATACAATAGATTCTTTTAAATCTTTTCACATAGATACACGGCAGCAAACCAGTGTGATCATTAACAGGCTACTCGCTTCCTACGGCCCGCCTTATCCATAATATTACCAGAGGACTGCCAACATATTTTACTGTTTGGTCCAACGCCATACTTTTTATTCACATAGCCATCCTTCATTAGATTAGAGATGGTTTTTCCACTGGTCAGTTTTTCTCCAGTCTTCTTCCATCTGAAAATTAATTGTCAGCATTATGAAAGCATGTAGGTTCAGTGCATTATTGAATTGTATAAATATAATAATTGTATAAGTGTAATAATTGTATAAGTGTAATAATTGTATAAGTGTAATAGTTGTATAATTTCTGTTATAGTTCATTGTGTCATTCAGCAGATACAGTGGAGATCACTTCTAACCTCTCATTAGAACTGTCAGAATAATCTGTCATAGAACTGTTCTAAACTGTCCTAGAACAGTTATACCTAGAACAGTTCTACCCTAGAACTGTTCTAAGTAGATTTGCCAGAATCAGTTCTAGGTATAACTGACCAAATCAGTTCTAGGTTAGACCTGTATAAAACTGTTCTAGGTAGAACTGTCCAAATCAGTTCTAGTCGTAGAACTTTCAGCAGAACTGACTAAATCAGTTCTAACCGTAGAACTGTCAGCAGAACTGACTAAATCAGTTCTAACCGTAGAACTGTCAGCAGAACTGTCTAAAACTGTTCTAGTCGTAGAACTGACCAAACCTGTCAGGACTGTAGATCAGTTCTAAATGACGTCACTGCAATTTTTTAATATATATTATATTCTTTTGACTTCTTTATATTTAAGACAAAGAGTTCTTAAAACTGTTCTATGGATAGAACTGACTAAATCAATTCTAGCCGTAGAACTGACCAAATCAGTTCTAATCGTAGAACTGTTCTAGTCGTAGAACTGACCAAAGATTTGGTCAGTTCTAGGTAGAACTGTCTAAAACTGTTCTAGGGTAGAACTGTCAGGATCAGTTCTAGGTTAGAACTGTTCTAGCTAGAACTGTCTAAAAGGTGTCAGGATGACAGTTTACATACTGTTCTAGAATAGTTCTCCTGACAGATTATGACAGATTTGATGAGAGGTTAGATTTAATCTCCACTGTATGACTTGATTTGACACTATACTGTATATAAAATCAACATAATTATAACAGAAAAAAACACACACCAAATAAGCATAATACCTGTTGATAAAATAATCAATATATTAGCACCATATATATATGCATAGAAAAATCATACCATTTATTGGTTTGGTGCTTAACAATATGATGAATAATTTAGCCCTATAAATCTTCACAATTGTTGATAATTTTCTGTAGAATGATAGAATATGGTTGGTTATTTCTGCATTGTCCGTTACCAAAGTTCTGTACAACGATAGACCTCAGATCACTTTGAGCATAGAGACGCTTGTTTTTATTTATTCGTGGTTGCGCAAAATGACGCCTCTTACTAAATCAAAAATGTTCCTCGTTAATTACATATTAAACCAAAGTTTTACACCTTGTTCCACAAACCACTGACACTACAATTTCGTACGCACACAAATTCGACAAGAGGCTCCTAAGAGCCAGAATCGCTCACCTGGAATGTTTTGTGCAGATCACGTTCCAATATCTATTTTGCTGTTGAATGTATACTAATGCGTGTTTAAACATGCAATTTAAAGTTTCTCTCTATCAGCAAAAAAAATGGTAAAAATCGTCATTAAAGGGCCACAACCCTATAAGGGGTCATCAAACCCTTTTAACTATTTGACTTTTTTGTAGATCTTGTCTTGCTTATCATTTTTGCTTTTTCAAGTTTCTCTCTATCTATTATATTTTTTCAAGATAATAGGCAAACATTTAAAAAGTTGGTAAAATTTGTCATTCAAGGGCAATAACTCCTATAAAAAGTCGTCTGACAGTTAAGAAGTAAATGGACAATAGGTAGATTTCATCATTCCAAACATGTCTGCCCTTTTCTATATTTAAAGTGGTTTTAAGATAATAGACAAAACTTGCATTTTTAGCCATGTCGGTTATCTTGGTTGGCAAGCGGGGTCATCGGGCACATTTTTTAAACTGGATACCCTAATGATGATGGTAGCCAAGCTTGGTTAAATTTGGATCAGTAGTTTCAGAGGAGAAGATTTTTGTAAAAGTTAACGACGATGACGGACGACGACGACTACGGACGCCAAGTGATGAGAAAAGCTCACTTGGCCTTTCGGTCAGGTGAGCTAAGAATGAAAAACATTGTCTTTTAAGGGTAATACTCCTTGAAAATTTCAGTCATATTAACTAATTTGTAAGTCTTACTTTGCTGACCAATTTTTCCATTCAAAGTTTCTATGTATCTATGTATCTATCATAGTTTCTGGAAAAACTTTAAAATTAAATAAAAATAGTCTTCCAAGGACAATAACCCCTATAAATGACCAATCTTTATCTATAATAAATTTCAAGATAATAACCAAAACCTGAGAAATGTTATAAAAATTATTATTTCGGGGCCAATATCTCCAACATGGGTTGTATATGATTTGTCTGAATATATATTGACCTGCTGAGATCATTTTATAGCCCGACAGATTATTTGCTCTAACTGCTTTAGTTTATGAGATATAGGCCAAATTAGCATTTTACCCATATGTTCTATTTCTAGCCATAGTGGCCATGTTTGTTGACTGACTGGAATAAAAAACACAAACTTTATACTAGAAACCATTAGGATCATTCATCCCAGATTGATTGAAATTAGTTCAGTAGTTTCAGAGAAGATCATTTAAAAAGTTTACGACGACGACGGACGTCAAGTGATGACAATAGAAGGTATGATAAGCTAAAAATGAACATGTGCTGAAAAATAATGCAAAAATCCGTGGTTTTATAGGAGTGAAATTTTTGTTAACCGTTCGTTAGCTAGAATACATTCACCACTTTGCATTTGATGTCTGACATGTAAATAGATGAACTACCATCTGTAATAAAGTTGTCGTGTGTAATAGATTGTGAAATAACGCATTATAACTAAAAATTTGAGTTTCTAAATTTCATGAACTTTTTTCAGGATGCACAGTTTGTGTTTTCGCTTTCATTGAACGGATCAATGCAGAAAGATTCATCCTAAACAACACAATATATACAATAATAACAACTATGTAATGCCTTACTTATTTGACATATGTTTGGCGTTAAGTACGACGGTACTAGATTTGATCCCATAACCAGAACCTTTATGAATGAGATACCGTCCCCCATCTTTAGTGGTAGCAACAACTCCAGTATGCTTTAATCCAATTTTTCCAAGAAAACCATTTAGAGGTCTGAAAATAAAGATTGGCAGTTATGAAAGGATTACGTGAACATCAACCCAATTCTGTGACTTATTTTTACGGTCGATTGCAAAAACTGTTTTAAAAGTTTGTTTATTTGGAAGCAAATCTATTGTTCAATTAAAAGCTTTGTCGACACTGGAAAAAATATCTTAATTGAAAAGAAAAAATGAAAGAGGTAGAGTCAATATCCCATTTATTTCACATCATTTTCAAAAAGTTAATTTTGCAATCTTCACATAATGACATATGAACCGCTTCTTGTACTTTGGGGTTCTAACAAAATTGTGTCTTATCTCTAAACGTAGACCAAATTGTACGTTTCTAAAGATAGCTTTACTGAAATGTTGATAAAAGAGAAAGCATGATAAGGCCCTCTTATATACCCTTGAATTCGAAAATAAAAAAAGCATCTATCAAATTATATTCTTCGTGACACTGGATGATATAAGTGTTCATAATTTTGAATTTTTTCTTACATATTTGTTTGACCAACATAAATTATATCACTAAAACGGGCATGTGAACAGTTCCGTAAAAGCGTAAACAAGGCGAAGTATACGTTATTTTGCAGGCATTAAGAACTCGTTGAAATGCATCTGATCATTGAAGATTTGATATTTGTAGTTTTTAAGATTTCAGAGATAATAGGAGACTGTATTTTGATTTATGGTGTTTATATTAACAAAAAAAGATATACCTTGAATAACTCTCAACTTTCTTTACTTTACTGTTGTACAGATTCGTAAGACTATTCTTGTTCATATCATGGGGCAACTATAATAAATATATAATCAGTAAAAGTAGTAAATAAATAAAGAAAGAAAATAATGCGCTGCATTTTCAACAGGAGGAATTTTATGAAGAACCTGACCAAATGACATGTTGCAAATTATAAAGGCATACAAAAATGATGTAGGTAAGAAATATTTGCTTCAGGTCCAATGTTTACATTTACTTACTGTCTTTGTCAATATTAAAAGACCAAAATGCGAAGTGACAACTCAGAATTTTAAGTGTCGCATATAACTTGAATGTCTATTTTCGTGAACTTATCTTGTTAGGTTGCCGAACCTTTAATTTTTACCAATCATGTCTCTTCTTGTTTATATCCGTCCAATTGTATTAGTATATTAATGAGATGTTGTTAAAAGGATAGGGACAAACACATGCACCAGTAAATGTCCAGGATTTGGAACTCTTCGTTCTTTATATTACTTCAAAATTGCGTACAACCAGTATGATTAAGACTGGGTCCTTCCCTTACCACAATAACGACTCCTCTTTCTGAAAATGCTAATGCTATTTTTCTTCACTTTATACAATTCATAGAACTGGCATTTTATGAACGTTGAATAAAATGACTGAATTTAATTTATCATTATATAAGGGAGAACGACAAGATTTTTTTAAAAAGAAGATGAAATGAGATCTTGCTTAAAAATGATAAAACTTTAGACTTTAACAAATAACTGTTCATGTCGATTTAGTTATATCAAGGACGTATAACTAACATCTAATAAACGTTCTTGCATTTAGTTATATGCAGTTTTGAAAACATGAATGACCTACTAGGGCAAAAATGCCACACATGTGTCACAAATGTACTTTGAAACGCATATGTCAAATGCGTTGCAGGAAAAACTCAAACACGTGCGTGTGACACGCATGTGAAACGCATGTGTCACGCATGTACACATATGTGTGGCATTTTTGCCTATATACACTATAGATTTTTGGGGCAAGCAATGGCAACTCAGTCCACTTCAGAATGTCCTGTGATTCCTGCAGATGCACTGTGTCCAAACGAATAAAAACAAAATTGACAACTGTTATAATTTGTTCTCGTTTTGAAAATGAATGAAATATTTGACACCGAACGGACAAAAATCTCTCTTATTAATTTTTTCGGTCATCAGATCTTGGAATTCGTTGAGTAAATAGTATTACAACTGTTATTTAGTTACTGAATATTCCAGATCAAATCCATTACACATAGCTACTAACACTCTTCAACATTTCAATTGATTGGGTTTCAAATATTCGGTTTCAAGCGCAACTGGAAATAAAAAAAAATCGTGCATGACGCGTAAAATAAAGCTTGACATTGTATTTTGTATTACTTACCGTTTTAGTATTTGTTTTTGTACTTCCTCCCCTATTTCTTCGCCATCCCCATGATCTGGAGGAGCCTGATCTGGAGGAGCCTGATCTTGATCCAGAGCTAGAACTCTGAAATAAATATTATGAATTCACAATACCCAATTGAAATCTTATTGGTCACAAGATATAATTTAGATATACCTCTTTTTGATTGATAAATCATGTCTTATTCAGCAAAAGAAGAACCGCGTTATAATATGCTTTATGGACAAGACAGAAAATATCACATACTTCAGAAATTAAAAGCAAACAAAAGATAACAGAGAAAAAGTAAATTTCACAGAACGAAAAAAGCAACCAGTGATTAACATAGATATCGCCCTAAGAAATCACCACATTTATAAATAATCCGTGCATTTGAGTTATCTAACCCTAAAACATTTCTGAATGCGCAAGTTTGAAGTGAAATATGATGAAACCTCAGTACAGACTGAGAGAATAGACAATGCTATGACCTATAGAAATAAAACCAAACATAAAAAATAAAATATCACAACCAACGACAAACAAAACTAAAGCAAACAATACATGGACAAAGCAAAACCTTACGTGCCCTGTCCACTCTTCGTGTTGATCATGACAAGTAAAGATAAGATGATCAGCATTTGCCGAGGCTTATAGCCTCGCCATTGACCTTCTGTACGGGATTTTCTTGCATTTTCTTTTTAAACAAATACCACCAAATATGCTCAAGGACGAATATGGAATAAAAAAAACAAAACGTAAAAGTGAAGTTGAAGTATCAATCCTTAGCAAACATTGTTGTATGTTTATAGGGATATTAATTTAACACGATGTTGTATGAACTATTCGAAGCCACTGGTACATATACTAGTTACAATAGCAAAAACACCTCATTTGATTGCCGAACATTACGACACCAACAAAAACACAGCAACTGTTTTGCAAGAATAAAAAAACAAAACGTAAAAGTGAAGTTGAAGTATCAATCCTTAGCAAACATTGTTGTAGGTTTATAAGGATATTAATTTAACACGATGTTGTATGAACTATTCGAAGCCACTGGTACATATACTAGTTACAATAGCAAAAACACCTCATTTGATTGCCGAACATTACGACACCAACAAAAACACAGCAACTGTTTTGCAAACAAGTTTTTTTAACACGTTAATATATAAAATAAGGTTTGACAAATGGCATTTCTTTTCCCATGGTAATCGAGCTCTTAATTCAAATATAGGCATGAAATGAAGTTTAATTGTGTTTCTCAAAATTTTTTCATCAATATGCATAGAATATTTGATATTAGACGTCCAGCAACTCTGAACTCTAGAACTCTGAAATAAATATTATGAATTCACAATACCCAATTAAAATCTTATTGGTCACAAGATATAATTTAGATATACCTCTTTTTGATTGAATAATCATGTCTTATTCAGCAAAAGAAGAACCGCGTTAGAATATGCTCAAAATTTTTTCCTGAATATGCATAGAATATTTGCTATTAGACGTCCAGCAAACAACAACAAATCAAGTGTTCCTTAATAAAGCATGGAAATCCTTCAAAAGATATTTTACGAGAGAGTTTAAAATATAAGTACCCTTTTTAGTCTGCAGTTGGTATTATCAGAGCTTTCTTTTTTTAATTATTTTTTTCGTAAAAAAACCGAATGCTTCTTTTTAACGATTATGAACTCTTTTATTTCACAAATTTACTTACTCTAGAACTTCCACCCCACCATGCATCTGAGAGACACACAGCTATCAGTATTATGAGAGTAATTCGCAGGACAATTTCTACTGAAGAAAATTCTTTGTTCTGAATGAAAAATACAAGTGTATAAAATTTTCATGTTTAAGTGGAGATATAAAAACGATTAAAGATGAATTGACAAGTACAAATGTTTATTATCAGGCAATATATTCAAACAAAACTACATATTTTTTAAATTCTAAATGAAGATATGAAAATGATTAAAAAATAATGAACTGACAACTTTTTATTTAATATGTTTGGGCCAATAAATACCTCTTTCTGTAAAAGATGACTGGTGATTTGGAAACAAGATATTCAATGCTATCAGAGACATATAATACAATTGTATTATATGTCTCTGATGCTATATTCGAGGATATTTAAGACGGTATGCTGCTCTCTAAATGTTCATGTTTACTCCATATTTTCCGTTGATCATCAAAGTAAAAACAAAAGCGTTTAAATTGGAACTATTGCAACGAATTTACAATATAAAACAAAACGTTATTTTATCAACGATCTTGAATTAATATTTCAATACATTTAAAACATCTGACACCAACAATTAAAAAAACGCCTATACTTACATTTCTAGTGAATAATATTGGTATGAAATTCTCCCAAAATACTATGCTGAACGGAGATTCACTTTTTGTCTATCTTTTGATATGCTATGTAATTATATATTTAATTTACAGGTGACATATGTTAAAAAATTATCGATTTTGACAAAAGTGAGTATCAGATTTGATTCCATGAATGAATGATTCCGCAAATTTTTTTTGTGATAATTGGAAATTGAACACGTCAAACAATATATATATATATACTATTTTGTGCAATCAAAACTGATCACATAAGCAATATAAGTAATCATATGCATACGTTTTGCTCCAAGTTAATGTTGGACATACATACATAAAATTTATATATTATATTATTTTTTTTTCTTCTTCTTCTTCTACAGTTACAGAAAACCATCAACGCACTGGTGTTAACTTGAACATCGTTTTTATCATTCCTATAATTTTATAAAGTTCAAGTGAAAAACAATAAATATATGTAGATGTTTTAACGATACCTGAGACTAGTAGTCTCAGACGATACCGATAAAAGATACAAGTCATACCAAAAATTTACAGAGTGTACGATGTGAAGGTACTCCGTTTGTATGTTGATAGTTTTCAACTTATATGTACAGTGATTGTCTCTTGGTTGTGTTTTATTGTACCCTATAAGAATATTTACATTCCATAATGTATCTATAATATAATTAATTCCAAAAAATATTGATACATCCTGGGACTATTATACTATATCAAGGATTTGTATAGTAAGACTCTTACTATACAAATCCTTGACTATATTATGTCCCAGATACATCAAACAAAACTGACTGATTAATATTTATTGGAAAACAAAACAACAGCTATCAAAAATCCCATTAACTGTCTCAAATAAAGATTTTCTACCTTTTAAAAATATTCTTCATATAATTGCTTTTTATATTTACCATACTTCCTTCTGTTTAGAAAAATTCAATACCTGTCTTTCCGGAGGTAATTGAACCTACTTGATTATTGATGTCGCACGAATTTCCAAAAGCGAAATTTGAAACAAATGCATGATTTTTTTAATTTTGTTTTCTTCGTGAAACATTTCTCGTGAATCCATACCCCCACTTTAATCAGTAAAATAATGGTGCCGGGACATATAGTCCCAGCTGAGATTGAGCAATGAAAATATGTTGTAGGCCTTAAGAATTTTGTAAGCATGAATACGTCAACTTGTTGTTGCTGGATAATTTCACATTAGAATCTCCTCTTACAGTCCTTGCAACAACGGTACAGTCAGACGGGATTTGATAATTACCAAAAATGACCAGATCAACCTGTAGTGACAACGCCACAACAATCAAATGTCATTACGCATCGTCATTTAGGGAACGACTACTTAAATTAAAGGGGGGTTGGGGTTATGGTTTTTTCTTAAAAAAATATTCTGATCCCCAATTTGATGAAAAAAAATATTGTGGTTAAGCAGATGACAAAATAAAATATTCTGAATCCAGATTTTCCCCATACCTTATAGTGTCAAATTTTGAAAATAATTATTTGCTTGATAGCGTCGAAAAACTTTAAAAAAATGTTCGAGCTTTGCGCGAAAAAAAATTTCTGACTCGGACATTAAACCATAACCCCCCTCCCCCTCCCCCCTTTGAAGTTAACTGGTTGCTCCCTTACGAGACAGGTTTGTCACAGAATAGAAGTTCCTTCATAATACAAGTTCCAAATGGAAACAATATTCTGGAATATTGTTTCCACTGGAATAAATATTACAGTAAATGTTCCTAACAGAATAAATGGTATAGAATATTTGTTCCAACAGGAACAGATATTATGACATTGTTTATAACAAAGTTTCCAGTGGAACTTCTGTTAGGTGGAACAAATATACGTTGACAGGTTTACGATTGTGACGACAGAATTATCTAGTATGGCCTTTTTAAAGTCCATCAGTATACTATAACTTTGGAACAGTAAAAAAGAAAACAAAGAAAAACAAATTTAACCTGTCTTTAGTGTTCCAAAATATTCCATTAAAATTTCAATCATTTTCAAGAAGAGGTTCTCTATTCGTCTGGAATCCAAAATTTCTTGAATTTTTCAGACAATCAAGTACTTAAACTCTTATGTATCTGGAATAGTAAAAGTGAAAAGGAAGAAAATCAAATTTAATCTGTCTCTAGAGTTCGAAAACATTCCATTAAAATTTTAATTAATTTCAAAACGCGGTTTCTTATCTATCTTCTGGAAACCAAAACGTTTGAATTTTTCAAACAATCAAGTACCATAACACTGCAAAGGTAAAAGTCAAAACAACGAAAATCCACCTAACACTATCCCTTAATATTCAACAATTTTTTTTTAATTTTCACAGCAAATTAACCATGTATATCTTGAATTGTACATGTATCACCTTTCTACATGCCAATTTTCAACCAATGTTTAAAGAGTATACTACGGAGGGCATTAATCCTCAATTTTTAATGAATACTCATGGACAAGTAAATTTTGGATCAAAATGGTCTAAGTATAATTAATTCAGAAGAAAATACTGTTTAAATAAAAACTTTTATTTAGGCTTTGCAGGTAGTCATAATAATATATACATATGTCAAGATTATAATACAAATGAAATACCATGTGATCATAGATTATAACTGACAAATAAACTCTGAATTAAAGAACTACTAAGAAGTATCTTAATAATTATAAAGAATGAAGCATAACAAAATAAAAATTCTATGAGATACAAATGAAATGTAAATTTCATACCCGCCAAACCGAAGGTCCGCCAAACAAACAAATCTCAGAAACTGCAAATTGCAACTTTTATAATAATTCTAAAATAATTAGAGTAAGTCTACACCATCTTCTATAATCCAAGTCGAGGACTCGAACCTCGATCCCCCATCACAAGGACAGGTGTACTAACCATTCTACTAACAAGGATGCATGATAGAGTCAACAGTGTAAACCCTCTACAATAATAGAAAAACAGGATCAAAATTCTACTCTCTCTCATGTGGAGATTAAGAGTAAACCTTCTCCTAAAAATAAGCTGCAATTTACTAGTAAATTTGAATTTAAAATTCTTATTCAAACACAATCAAAATTCATTCTACTTCAAAAGATTTAAAGATGTACAAGAGTATTAGCTATAAAGCTAAAAACCTTATTAAGACCAGTGGTGGACAAATGCAATTTGTCAATTGAAAACAAAGTGTTAATTGGCTTCCTCACTCTATTATAAAAAGTCTTCTCACATGCCATGTATCTGACATTAGTAAGAGAGGAAGCCAACTGTTTTAGTACATTGTTAAAATTGATAACGAACAATTCAGAATGATTAAAATCACATGGCCTGGGTAATATTGAAGATAAAATAATAACACAATCTGGATTACAAATCCTCAATTCATGTATAATATCACGAATGTACTTCTCAAATAAATTAGTATTAATGTTAAATACATCATTTGTACCCACATTTACAATTATATTGTTAAAATGATACCAGGTGAATACCTGTTTTTTAATTTCCTTAAAAGCATTTCGCAACGCAGCCTACCAAAGGCCTGGAGTTGCGTATTTCTCATCTCTGGAAGATACTTTAAAATTGAATCTGATATTACTAAACTGGGTTTACCCCATGCCTTCAAACCTACAATATAATGTAAATTATTAACTACTAGAATGAGTTCAGAAGATACACCACATTGGAATGCCCAAGTTGCACCTCCTCTTCTGAAGCTATGAGATGAGTATTTTGTTGGATCTAACCCAATTTTCTCAATAATGTTTTTTAAAAATGTCTGTAACATATTGTAGGACACTGGCTTAGTTTTTCTACCAGATAATACAAGAAAAGCTGGGGAAGATGCTGAAACAGGAAATTTTTTGCACATTGCCTTGAAGGCACTAAATGTACATAACGGAGAGGATAAATTTTTAATAATTGGTATTTCTAAAACTCTCTCCCCAAATTGTATAGTCTTAGACCAACGAAACTGAACTAATAAATAATCTTTAAAAACTGAAATATTTTCTCTAAGCAATCATTTAGAGCTATCATCTACTGTCCCAACCAAATTGGATTTTCTACATATCAAATAGAAAGCAAAAAGAAAAATGCACCAATATGTATAACTATTGACATCATCAAAATCTAAATCTTCCCTTATTTTTAATAAAATACTAGGTGTGATTGGAAGAGCTGCCCGAACTGTGTGGGGATTGCATCGTTTTAATCCCTTCATAAATAATCTAAAATAAAATGACTCAAAATGAATAAAAGATAGATCAAAAAGTAAATGTAACACCTTAACTCCATTCAGATAATTTCTGATTGAGTCTACTCTTTTAAATGATCTACTTAAAAACTGTGCAAACAAGCAAAGTGTATTTAAATCGCAAGGCAATGTTTTTAAATTATAAAAATGACAAAACAGAAAAAAAGGCTTTCCACTGTATCTTTAAATTTTTTCTAGTTCCTGATGCATGTGCAGATTTCAAAGATTCTTGTGCTTGTGTTTTAAGCATGTGGAGATCAACAGATAAACTACGTTCACCAATTGTGACAGAATCTGAAAAAATTTGAATCTACATTAATATGTTGAAAATTTCTACCTTCAATTGATTTATAAAATTGCATGGGGTAAATATCTGACAAACTCCATCTGGACAACATATCAGGTAACCTATTATCAATACCGTCTATATGAATAGCTCTTAATTCACATTCTTTAATTGTACAAATAAAACATATTTCTCTAAGACATGCTTGTAAAAAACGACTCCTTGATTTCCCTTGATTAATAACTTGAACTGAAACCTTATTGTCACACTCAATGCATATCTTTCTGCCTCTCTGTCCCCACAACTTCAAACAAACAATAACTGACAATAATTCCAAAGCATTTATATGTAAGTTTTGCTGGACAATGAAATCTGGAAACACACAATGAAAGAACTGTCCATTCGAAACCCCTCCACAACCAACCAAACATGCATCTGAAGCCATATACTCGTCCGGTTTTGTCCATTCTTGAAGATTCAACAGTGAAACACCATTATATA